TAACTATAGTATGTATATATAATATATAGTCCTTTTCCCATTATTTTTAACTTATTTTATACTCCACAATTAAATATTTACAATATCTACTTTGTATTGATTGAATTTAATCAAGTAGGTCACTCATGATGAGACCTGATCTAATTTGAATTAGTAATAACTATCTAATAGTTACTACTTAAAATTTAAAATAGTAATTATATTTACTATTTTAAAATATAAAAATTAAAAAAAAGTATAAAAAAAAATAAATATCTCTCTCTCGAAAAGGTTCTGCTTTTGTGACTAAAAGTACGAAAAAAAATAAAAATTATTTTATTAATTCGTTTCTTTAAAACTAAATTTTTATAAAAAAAAAATATTTATGTTGTGAATATTTTCGTACAATTTATTATTTATTAATATAATTGTACGTATTGCTATCCACATTAATTTTAAAAAATTATATTTATTTATAAATTATATGTTAATTCTATGAATTCCTAACTTACTTAAAAAATTTAAATATTTGTTGACATTAGAAAAGTCACTCTCCCAATTCGTTTACTAAATATATATATATATATATATATATTAATATATATATATATATATATATGCAACCCATAGAAAAGCTTTATATTTTACAGTAATATATACCTTTATTTTATTACATACGTTCTTTATTTATTATATATCACTACATTACTTACTATAATTTTAACATATTACATTTAAATATTATTTTTCAATGATTATATATGATTATGAGATTATTATTTATATCAACTGTCATATTAATTTATTTTGTTTTCATGACGTATTCATGTTTTTGCTCTTGCACGCGTTAATAAATTTATAATATAAAGCCGTCCTTCATTATTTTCTTATCATATATAGTATCTTTTATATATATGTATATATGCATATATATATATATATCATATATATACAAACACAAACACAAACACATATAATATATATATATATATATATATATATGACAACCATCTATAGAGAGGAGGCATCCATGTATCTTTTTTTTTTTTTTTTCCCCACGAGGGAAAGAGGGTAGCCATACTTACACAAGATTATATTTATATACATATTGGAGCTAAGGGAGAGTATGCAACTTTTTTAGATATTGTGATTCATCTATTTTAATTTCTACACGACCTAATTAAGAAAATTCGATTAAACAAAAACTCTTTTTATTGAATTTCTGTCTCATATAACGATATTTCTTAAAAAGTAAAATTCATTCGTTCTATTTTCTTCATTTTTTCCATCAACTTTAATATGAAAAATTTTGGTTAAATAAGAAATTTTTTTGCTACAAGTCTATGTACATAAGTCTATACAACAACTAAGTTAGTCTTACCAAACAAAAAATGTAGGCCGTATTGTTTTTTCTAGTGCGTAGGAATTCTCAATAATAATTCAACACGTGATTAGTAAATTTAACTCGATCCCACTTTTTTATACATAATATTTACATATGCATTAGTATTCCTACAATAATAATTCAACACGTGATTAGTAGGTTTAACTCGGTCCCACTTTTCTATACATAATATTTACATATGCATCAGTTACATTCAATTATGCAAGATAAGCAGATGAGTTCTATTTATAGCATCTTAAAGGTAATCAGACAATCTATAAATTTCCAACAAAAGGGATAACCATAACTAACATATTTTTTAACGTCACGCAGTTCTCTCCAATGTATTTTTGAAAAAAGTATTGTATCATTGCTACCCACTTCTTCTATAGTCCTGAAGTTCGTACGATTTTCTCTATTTCTTATGTGCCAACCTCGATAGCAACCTTCACGTTTGGACTCAAAGTGAGGAGGTATATATCACGACGTTAAAAGCAAAAAAAAAAAGGGAGAATGAATTAGGTTTTGGGTTAAGGTTAGGGTACCCACTTCTTCTATAGTCCTAAAGTTTGTACGACTTTCTCTATCTCTTATGTGCCAACCTCAATAACAGCCTTTACGTTTGGACTCAAAGTGAATATGTATATATCACGACATTAAAAGCAAAAAAAAAAAAAAGGGGAATGAATTAGGTTTTGGGTTAAGGTTAGGGCTAGTGTTTGGAATATATTTTCACGACAACTACAATTGTATCAAGAATAATCACCGATTTCAACCATGATAGTTAATACTTATAACCTATAAAAAAAAATTAATATTTATATTGTAATCAATCAAAAAATATAATAAGAATTATTTCTCAAAATTTTCTCTCTATTTCTTATATATATATATATATATATTTTCATTCTCAAGATTAGACAGTGAATCAATTATAACATTCCTTTAAGTAAACTAAAATCATTTGTCTTAATATAATTCTTGGTACGTTCATATCAAACATAGCACATGGAACAACAGTCAAGTACCTAACTAGAGAAGAAGAATAATATATATACATATATATATATATATATATATATATTTTTTTTTTCAGTTCAAAATGTGCTTTAATCATATTTTTCAAATATTAATATTTCTGGACCTATTTATTATTAATCCTTTTTATGAATCCTCTGAAAGCCCATCTTGCTCGGCCCACCATCTTTCTTACCCTAGACCATTGAAACGCGTTCTCTTCCTTCTTCGTCCCTTTCCTGATCGCCACGCTTCTGCTCTAGCGTATTCTCACAGTAATCTCTCTGCGTTCCCGTTAAGCCAACCGGCTCACCTGAAACCATCTCTTACCGATCCTCCTTTTGAAGCAAAAAGCAAGCAGCGGTCGCTATCATCCCCCTTCGGCGGGATACTTCGGCCTGAACTCGGTATTCTCTAAGCTCGGTCACTTCTTCTCTCTAAGTATACCCGTGTTTTGGTGCTGCTAATTTCTTTTGTTAATAGCTGAATTTTGGTGATGACTACTGTTTTGATCAATAACTTGTTTCCCTTCGTGTCAGTTTCTTTTTTTTTTTTGTTTCTCTGTTTGTTCGATTGGTTTCTGCTTGTCCTAGTCTATTTCAATTTCTAGATACGCTGCTGCGTTCAGTTGTACAGATAGTCATTTGCTTTATTCATTAGTGTTTTTGTGCTGTACTTCGCTTTTTTAGGTGTTCAACATGATGTGCTTGGGATCGTTGGTAAAATTGTAATTTTCGGCTGTGTGATCGATCTATTTAAGTTTGCTCTATTGTTTTCATCTATAATTCACTTCCAACCTGAACTTTACCGTACTTCTATTTCGAGATATGGCTCATAAATCATGGATTGCTTGTGCAATTTGGTTATGGTAGCTGTTGTTTATCTTTGATTGGTTGATGTATAAATTGGGTTTTACTGTCTTGACGTTTTTGCTTGATGATACATATGTTTTGATATGTCTGCCTATCTATTGCACCTTATGGTTGAGTTTCGTGGTCATATGGAAATGCTTAGATCATGATGTTTTCTGTAGTTAATAGGTTTATGTTTACGTTAGGTTGTTAAATCACGAGCAAAAGTTACCTCTTAATAGGGTTCTGATTTAAACCGACTAAGCAAATCGAAACTTCTAACATTTAGGATAGGTAAGGTCCTGTCCTCCTTTTCTGACATTTAGGTTTGTATGTTCTGACATGGTTAATGATCGTTGGTTTCAGTTCTAGTTACTGCTTATTTAGTTCTTTAAAATGCTTGGAGGGATACATGCACGTATATGTTCTTAAGGCCGTACCCCTGTGGGAAGTGTACATAGAAT